TATTTTAAATGTTTTTAATATTACTAACTTTAAATTTTTTTTTTCAGAATAAAAATCATTTACGTACTTAGTACCTAGGTACATTTCAAATAAGTTTAAAGTTGCCATATACAAAAAATTAAACCGAACAGCGAATAAAAATTCCAAGATGCCTAAGAAATGCCTGGACGATGAATTGCGCTGCGATAAAATCAAATTCAAAACAGAGAAGTTTGTTACAGAAGATGATTCTAGTACTTCTTGGTTTCAGATATTCTGCTTCCCTTATAACTTACTTGCGAAAGTATTTGACGTTTGCATGTCTGCCTGTCAGGGGACAAACCAAGTGTTTGTCTACATAATGTTAATCCAATATTGTATCTGTAAACTTAAAGAAAAAGTTTCACCAAACCCGATATTTACTCCATACTATTTCTACATGTATTGTCAAATTGCCTTTATGGGTCTATTTTGGGTAGTGTTTTGGTTAATGTGGGGAGACTCAATGGTAATGCCATTTATCAATAATGTAGTTATGGAGTTTACTGGTCATAAAAATACCCTTGATGCTCTCAAAATAATTCCGAGATCGAAACCTAAACCAATTCGGAATGATACAAGACGTACTGTGTCTTTTAGAAAATATTGTTTTAAAAAAAAAGATTTGTATGACTTACCATTAGACAATTCGCCCCATACTGTTACTCCCACGACTATCTTAACATTTGTATTACAAATTATCGTTAATCAATTGCTTTAAAAATACACGACAACAACAATAATGTCTTTTATTTGTTTATAGGTTGACTAGTAACCCGCCCCGGCTAAGCACGGGTGCAGTATGCATATTATATTATAGATACATATAAACCTAAGAATCACTCTATATATTAAAAAAGACCGCTTCAAAATCCGTTACATAGTTTTTAAGGTCTAAGCATACATAGGGACAGACAGACGGCGGAAGTGACTTTGTTTTATACTATGTATTGATGATAAAGATTCACTCGTTCTAATTAAGTTTCCAATGGTCTTCTATATCTTGACAGGGACATCATTTATTTATTTTTTGCGTGAGGCAACAGTGTCAGACTCCTACTGAATAAAAACCATACCGTTCCTACTTGTTCTCCTTAATAGTGTTAGTCCCCATATATGTCAATCTACCCGCGACCCCGGCAGGATGTGGATCCACCCTTTTTGTTGTAAAGATGGATATCGGACGGCAGTGTGAAACTCTTACTGATTAAAAAGTTGCCATATACTTATTATAGTTTTTTTGTTAAAAAGTGTACGTTTTTAGCATTAAGATTGATTGTGATACCTACTCACAAAAGACGTTGAGAAAAAACGCCTACTCAAGATACTTTATGAATATCGCACGACAATAATACTCTTTGAATATCACAAAAAGATATAAAAAAGCATGTCAGTAAACATCGTCATAAATGTCATTCATGGAATTGTTCATGGATGGTCGTATCGTTTTCGTATATAAGTTTTTATTTTAAGCGTATTTATGTTTGATATAGGTACATTTACGTTTTAATTGTGACATAAATAATAATCAATAAATAAATCGATAACCCTGCCTGACTCTTAACACTTTGAAAAAATTACAAGAACTTGTGTTTCAGAGTAAGAAAAGAACGAATATTACTTTAAGAGCAGCATTAAATTTAAGTTTACGAAAGTAAGAAGTATTGAACTTCTCAAAGATGACCGATTCTAATAAGAAGGATTTCCGCTGCGATGATGTGAAGGGGGAGAAGTTTTATACGCAAACAGACAACATTGGGAGTGGTACGTCTTGGCTCGAAGCAATTTGCTCCCCGCTTCTGTTGTGCTCTAAGATATTTGAATTCTACCAAGGATTTTACGCGGGCACAAACGAATTGCTACTCACGATAATACAATGCCTATACTGTCTGTGTAAAGTCAGACGTGCAGCGTCGCCAAGCCCCATGTTTTACCCATACTACTTCTATATGGTCCTACAAGTTGTTATTATAACTGCAACATTTATAACAATATGGCTGCTTTGGGGAAGATCGGTCATAATTCCCTTCTTCCAGGCTTTTTATTACGCAATGACTGCAGACTATTCAGACATGGGTATTATACCACCAAGGAAGAAAAAATCAAAACCAAATACATCACGTTTAACTTTTAAAAAGTATTGTTTTAAGAAAGGAGACATATTTGACACTCAAATGGACAGAAGCATGTCGCCTATAGTCGTTTCTCCTACGACACTCGTTACCTTTGTATTACAACTCTTAGTAAATAGATTTCGATAATACATTATCTTTTATTCACATTATCTTCAAGGCACATTTTGTTGCAACCGCCGCCACGGTGCCGCTACAATAGTCCCAATAGGATTTGTGTGGAGCCTTACATACGACGTGAAGCCGCGGTGGCATCGGCAAATCTTGCCGCTTATTGCTTCATATCACCTCACTTATAAACGACGAAATACTCTAATATTCCGCGTATCCATGGGTGGCGCCGGGCGCAGATCGATGGCCGTCAGTTTATCCATCTACGTGTTTCTCTTATTCCATAAAAATCGAAAACCCTCCTAAGTGAATTTTTTTTTTTTTTTTTTTTTTTTTTTTTTAAAAAACGTTGCCCCACACTAGGATTATCTCCTGTGTCGTGGGTGCATTTACAAACATACAAGTTCACATACACAATGACACCCAGACCCGAAACAACAATTTGTGGGTCACACAAAGTGTTGTCTCGTGCGGGAATCGAACCCGCGACACGTTGCACGGCAGCCAGTTGCCCAGCCACCGCACCAACCGTGCAGTCAAATATAAATAAATATTATAACTATACCAACCCTGGCACGGTCATAACATCATACAGTACTCCAACTTCATACAAACGGACGAAACGCGAACTATACCTACGCGCCTCGATGTCGGGGTGCAGAGAGTCACGGCTGTACCGCAGTGACCAAAGAGTATAAGAAGTGTAGGGGTCAACACTACACTAACACTACTGTATGATATTACCATGACCATGGCGTGCTTTCATCAATGTTCGGTGTATGTAGTTAACTAAAAAACTCGTCATAAAGAATTTACGATATGGATACAACCATGGATACTGTATGGAAAGAGCAAGGAGTAGAACAAGGGACAGAATCACAAGAGCCATCTCTTTTATTTCAGTTTGCTTTTGATTATGAAAGACTTCTTTGACAGTAGTAGCACAGAGTCTAGAAATGTGCCCGGTATATGGCAATAGGCTCACTCCCTATTACATGGGACTCAATGTACATACATTGTACAGTGGAATTAAGTGCCGAAATGTGCACCTCTGCCTACCACTTCGGGGATAAAAAGGCGTGATGTTATGTTATGTTATGTAGACTTCTTTGAACGAGACCATAAAATGAATTATCGTTGAACGTGTCATCGATTGTAAATGCCAAGGTTAATCAGTCAAATGCATTGACATCTCATCTCAATTTCCTTCATTGAGTCAAATGTAAGATTGTGGATAGGTTATGCCGAAATAATAAAGGGGCAAAATTTTTATACTTTATGTTTTATTTTGCATAACGTATGAACAAATCAATGTATCTTAAATCCAAATTATGAGTACGATATATTAGTGGCACATAAATTATAGTTTATAAGGATAAATTCAAGTATGCCGCCGAAGAAGAAGAAGAAGGTCAATAATGATTTTAACTGTAACCAAGTACGAGGGGCAGAGAACTTTCAGCCACAAAGTTTTCAAGCGCAGACTGACGATGTGTTCAAATATAACTGGTCTGAAGTGTTCTGCTTCCCATACGTACTATGTACAAGGTTCTGGGACTGCTGTGTATCAATATGCGCTGGAACAAATCAATGTGTCGTCTACTGGATGATGATACAGTGGCTGGTCTGCAAAATAACACATCTGACCACACCGGACCCAATACTTTTCCCGTATTACTTCTATGTATTCTGTCAAGTTATACTTTTAACATCATTTTTTATTCTATTGTGGGTTTGGTTTGGGAGAACCATCATCATACCATACTTTTATGCATTTTATGAGGCGTTTGTTGAAAATATGACAGAAGCGCCACCAAAAAATGCAACCCGAGTGTCTTTTAGAAAGTATTGTTTTCGAAAAAGTGAAATTTTTGATACGCCTCCTAGTAGTGTGGTCGCACTCTTGCCAAATGAACCTTTAAATCTAGCTATGACGTTTATACAGGTTTTTATTCAGAAAATTATGCAATAATATAGAAATTGCAAACTTAAAAACAAAGTGCTTTTTTTATTTAATAAATTGTAACATTTTTTAGGTACGGCTGCATGGTTACAGTAATATAAATATTTCAATATAGGTCCGCACTTAATCTAAAGTGTGTGATAACCATAAAATTATGGAAGATACGTCATACATATTGCAACTTTATGATACACTAGATACTTCCATGCAGTTCCACCCGCTCTGCTCAGCTCTTATTGATCGTTTCGTGATGGTTTATAGCCTATAGTCTTTCTTGATAAATTGACTATCCAACAAAAATAACAATTTTCCAAATACGACCAATAGTTTCGGAGATTAGCGCGTTCAATTCAAACAAACTCTACAGTTTTATAATAGTAGTAGTATAAAATAAGATATTGATTATCGTTGTTAGAAAACTGTATTTGAAGAATAAGAAACAATTATGGATTAAAAATCGCAATCTCAACTTCTATGCAAGTGGTTTTGGGTTCAATCTATAAGTGGGCAGAGTGTTTTATTACGTAGCACTCAATCGTTACGGTGAAGTTGATGTCGCATCTAAATTGCCCTCTGTCTATACCTTACAGAAATAAAAGTTATGTTAAAAATGGTGATGTGCACTAAAATTGGTAAAATTGTCACAAATGAAACCAAAACAGTTAAGAATCTTTAGTACGAAATATTACTTCACATATGGCAATACTAAATTTGACGTTTTCATTTTGACATTGACAGAAAACAGATGGTAGAAAAAAATCTTTACGTCAGTCACCCCGAAAATGGCGAGAAGTGTGTTACGCTAACAATATTTTTAATTTTTAAAATAAATCTGAACATTATATCAAAGCAAAAATCATAAGTTCAGACGTCATAATTCGTGAATTCAGTTTAATTAAGGAACAGTTCATAAAAACTCTACTGGTGAGTAAAAAAATATTTTTATATTATCTCGGAAAAGTGAAATTTTTCGAGAGGACTTTGGTGGTGTATTTATTCAAATAATTTGAATAATAAAGAGAGATCTCGCCTGTGATCGATTCATATACTATTTACGTCCTTTTATCAGTATTTAGATGTATGTATTCAGTTCTTTTTCACTCTGAAATGAATGAAAAATCGCATTGTTCGTAGTCAGTAGTTTACATAAAAGATTGCGTGATGATGTAGTATAATCAGTTTAAAATAAGTTTAAGTGCGTCCTAACGTGCAGTAAAGTAGTGTATTCCGCCCGCAAATATTATCACGTAAGTTAATAATACAAGAATAACACTTTTTTGGATGTTGATAAATAAGTATGTGTATAAACTCCAGTGACCTAGTAACGCGCGGAAGATACTCGACACACTTTCTAGATCATAGACAATTTGCCTTAATGTTTTTTTCATTATTCGCAAAGGAAACTTGATTAGAAATTTTGTTTTTTTTTTTAAATTAGGGTTTGACCTTTTTTATCTGAACTTTGATGACCCACTTTTTTACACATCATTTTATCGATAAGTGAACAAAGTGTGCGAATTGTATCAAAGGTGGGTAGGATTATTAAGCTTGATTCATGTTTTTAAAATGATTCATTTTGTTAAATTTTTGCACGTCGACATGCATTTTAAAAAGACTATATATTTAAGATATGGTAGAAAATTCTACCTCCATAAATAAACATTTTATATAATTAAATATTTTCGAGTAATATTCAAATTAATAAACAAAAAAGTCATTTATTTTTAAACTGTGTAGAATTTTTCTTGTTAATACTTTCTTGGTCTCTGAGACACAAGAGTATATTTTTGTAACAAAAATACTATTATTAGCTAGCTGCCTTGCCTGCATTATTTATCCTATGACATTCTTTGTATTTTTAATTATAAATATGCAAAGTTGGAATAAGATCGGTTAAGTAGTTAAACTGTCAAACACCGCGAGGACACCGGTGACCGCAACATATTGTTCTATAATTGTGTCTATAATGACGATACTCAAAGGGTTAAAATATAGCAAGTTAAGTTTGCATGAGCTCTATTGTACCAATAATGCCCTTTCGTTCAATATCCATAATGGAGGTAGTTGTGGAAAAAATAGATTATATTGTATGGTCATCTAGATTAGGATTGTGTAGCAAATATCAGATTGATCTGTCGTCAGGAAGGGTCTAAAATTCCAATTAGTAAATTGAATGCCAGCAAACAGGGCGAGGTAAATAAGAAAAAATTTTAAGGCAAAGAAACTTATTTTTCGCATTTTTACTACATATTGCGTTTTTTTTTTCTATATGGATAACAGTTTAACAATATGCAGATAAAAATAAAACCATATTATGTTCAAAAAAATTTTAGATTTTTTAACATCCCGCCTTTTATCGCCGAAGGGGTAGGCAGTAGTGCACATTATGCCACTGTACAATATAACACACACTTTTCACTATTTACGTTATGAATCCCATGCGATAGGGGGTGAGCCTATTGACTATTGCCATATACCGGCCACAATTCCAGACTCTGTGCCACTATTGAATTTTTTTTTAATCCAGTAATACTTTGCCCGACCCTGGAATCGAAACCGAGACCCCTTGCCGGTCGCACTTACGACCACTCGTCAGTCATGTAGGTTTTTTATTTACCAAAAAAACTTAATATAATCTAATATATAAAATTCTCGTGTCACAGTTTTCATTACCATACTCCTCCGAAACGGCTTGTCCGATTTTGATGAAATTTTTTGTACTTATCCGGTATCTATGAGAATCGGCCAACATTTATTTTTCATCCCCCTAAATGTTAGAGGTAGTCCACCACAAATTTTTTTTCGAGATTGCGCGTACGAAGTCATATGCAGAAGCTAGTTATTAATAGGATTCCTATATTAATTTCTCTTCATTATGCAATACTATAATACATAATTACATAATAAAGACCATTTTTATTGGTAATCAAAATTGAATTGTCTGTCAGTCTAGGTTTACACCCAGTCATAAATATCTATAAAAAAAATCATATTTAAACTGTCAAACACCATGCGGTCACCGGTGACCGCAACCTATTGTTCTATAATTGTGTCTGCAAAACCGGTACTCGACGAGTTAAACAGTCAAATCTATAGTTCAAATTTTACCACAGATATGATAAATAATGTATTTGCTGACAACACACCGTTAAATTCAAGTTAACACATTGGGTTATAGCTAACACCATTATTGATTTAACTCTATGTATATTTAACTGGTTTTTTGGTGTATTCGTATGAAAGGTCATGCTCTGGTCACATGAGAGACAGTAACTACAAAGTGCCCTACGATGCTCCTTACATACTTCTTTAACGTCTTTACTGACATACATTTATACGCCTAATCATACAAGTACTCCACAGCTGATACTCTTAGGGAGATCTAAAACTATCTTATTGGGTTTTTAAAAAAATTCTCAGTAGTAGCACGGGGTCTGGAACTGTGCCCGGTATATGACAATAGACTCACCCCTTATAACATGGGACGCATAACATAAATAGTGAAAAGTGGGTGTTACATTGTAGTGGCATTAAGTGCCGTAATGGGCACCTCTGCCTATCCCTTTGGGGAAAAAAGTATTAAATTAATATGTTCGAATAAATATAATGTTCTTTTTCACGTGGTAAAGTCATGATCTGGTTCGACCAAAGTGAGACTACGGTCTCATAGAGATCCGAAAACCGCCTAATTTTTTCGAGGGGAAATATTGTCTTATAACCCGACCGGGTGAGGCGAGAGGGACTCTTGCTGACGTAAAAACCCCGTTCCTATTCCTAGTTTTCGAGCCGGAGCTCCGGCAACCCGTTAAGGATGCTCTGCATGATGCATCGGGCATTAGCCCTACTGGGCCCCATCTGTGGTCGTCTGATAATGGCTAGCCGATGGTTTGGTACGGTTTTACCAGAAACCGGCAACGCATTTGTAAATCCCCTTTTGTTGCGGGTGTCCATAGGCGGCGCTGACTGCTTACCACCAGGTCATCCATCTGCTTGGTATTCCATAAAAAATATTTTAAATGTGCTAATAAATTACCTTGTCCTGTCTCTGACAGCCTCGTTGGCCGAGTGGTCGCAAGTGCGACTGCCGGGCAAGGGGTCTCAGGTTCGATTCCCAGGTCGGGCAAAGTATTACTGGGTATTTAAAAAAATCTCGGTAGTAGCACGGAGTCTGGAATTGTGACCGGTATATGGCAATAGGCTCACCTCCTATTACATGGGACTCGTAACATAAATAGTGAAAAGTGGGTGTTACATTGTACAGTGGCATAATGTGCACCTCTGCCTACCCCTTCGTGGATAAAAGGCGTGATGTTATGTTATGTGCTTGTCCTTGTAATTTTCCGAAAAAGCGGTACATAGTTTTAACGCATTATAGTAGAATCACGTGCTGTAACTACGTAAGACAATAATAATAAATAAGTTTCTCTGAAATGGTAATATGTAGGTAATCATTTGTTCATATTAAGTTCTTTCAGCGTATTCTATCATTATGCCGTAATGGTTGTAATATTTCAAAGAAATGCCTCCTTTTTTTCGAATCAGGGGAAAAACTCACGTCACACGAATTTCATAATTTTTTGCCCCTCCATGGGTCCTCCTTGTCACAGCTAGTCACATTCCGTCGCACGTCGCGGGTCGCGGAATGCTGCTGAATATGAGCTTCCTAGCATGGCTTGAAACTAGTCGAGTTCCTCGTGTATGAATAATTACGTGACTAAGCCGAAAAACATAATAATTAATGAGACGAGATGTCTAATTACCTATATTATTATCAAAGCGAATTTATCTTGAATTTGTTATCATTAACCCACATTTTAAATTACGCATTTATTTAAACTAAAATATAATAAAATAGTAGACAATTTAATGATTAACGACCCAGTAAAAGGTACGGAATACGGAATTAATTTTAAACACTCACATAATAATATCACCTTTAGTTCCCTGAAGGGATAGGCAGTGATAACCATGAAATGCGACACTCACTTTTTATAGATAAGCTCATACAAAACAAACAAAAAGTTAAGTCTGAGATAGCCGGCTCGACCGGAGACCGGATACCACGGCCGAGCAGAAAACCGTCGTGAAGCAACGTTGCGTTGTGTTTCGTCGTGTGAGTGAGGTTACCGGAGGCCCAATTACAATTAACAAACTCCGTGCTACTGTTGAGATTTTTTTTAAACCCAGTATAATACTTTGGCCGATCCGGGAATCGAACCCGAAACCCCTTGCTCGGTAGTCGCACTTGCGACCACTCGGCCAACGAGGCAGTCTAAGATAATATTATCCAATTAATTCCGTCAACAATGATGCAGGTCAGATTGATAACCCTATCTTCTGTGAAGTTAAAAAAAGTGCCATGGTGGATTGGCCGCAAGGGCTACTGCCAAGGAAGGGGTCTCAGAATTAATTTCAAGTATGGGAGAGCCATGCTTCGGTACGAATGGGCCGGCTCGACCGGAGTGATACCACGGCCGAGCAGGAAACCGACGTGAAGCAACGCTTGCGTTGTGTTTCGTCATGTGAGTGAGGATACCGGAGGCTCAGTTACCCAATAAATAAAATAAAAGCCAATCTTATCTTATACTTCTTATCTATTATATAAAGCGGAAGAGTTTGTTTTTTTGTTTGTTTGTTTGTTTGAACGCGCTAATCTCCGTAACTACAAGTCTGATTGGAATAATTATTTTTGTGTTGGATAGCCCATTTATCGAGGATGGCTATAGGCTAAAACATCACGCTACGACCAATAGGAGCTGAGTAGAGCGTGTGAAACCGCGTGGAAGTAGCTAGTGTGTTAATAAAGGTGCCAATTTCCTCTGCCTGGCTTGGACTGTGCTGTGCTAACTCGCCAATTTCCGGTAATTTTCCCACATAAACCAAATAATCTAATTTGGTGCAGTCATTCAGGAGTTATGCGTGCACAAACAATCATTTCGGTGAATCGTGTTTATTTACATTGATAGATACACGAATGTGCAATTTAGCTGAACGGAAAAGCGTGTACGTGTGAACGGAATAGTGCGTACTATCTATTGGTGAAATTCGTACAAAATGTGTCCAATAGTTTTCTACTTAAAGTCAAAGCATTTATTTCAATTAAACCATAATTTGGTACTTTTGAAACGTCAACAAATACAAAATAAATAATAGTCTGTCATTCAGTCCGTCCGTGAAGCTAGGTGCTCATTCCAAAATGTAAATTCGAATGGAGATGAACGAGTAAGAAACTCCATTCGTTACTCTTTTAAAAAAAAAAATGTTCTACAATGCCTCTGATACATATTCCAATACTGTACGTATATTTGAGAACAATGCAAAAGCACGCTTGACGCATTACGATGGTCATAGGTTGACAACTCGTAACCCACATTTTTTCACAAAATGAGTTATGTACATCAAAAATTTTAAAATTAAGCGCCGAATCTTTCTATTGATACCTCGTAATTTACAAAAAATGTCGCTCGAACAATTTGTGCCAGAGTTGACAACTCACAACGAACACGTATCAACTTGAACGCACTATTGCACGAGTTACGAGGTGTCAACGCAAAATGCAGTTCGCAAAATTCACTGACAGAGTAAGATCGGCGCAGGTTTTAATTGTTTAAAAATAGTTTTTTATTTAAATTACAACTTTGAATACGTATAGTTATTTCCTGGAAGTGACCTTGAAGATATATTGGTAAGTTTTTAATTTTATTTTACGTAGAACGCTCCATAAACGCTCACTTTTGAAATTTCAAGCATTCTTATCAACGATATAAGATATCGATGTTAAGATGTAAAACTAATTAATGATAAGAATTGAGATAATTAACTATATTCTACATAATACTCGTAATTAAACTTGTTAAGTAGGGATAAAGTTTCAACATTGATCATTTAAGCAGGCAATGGGCTAATTAGGTACTTATCTCGTCGTCTTTTGTTTTAGTGTTATCATGGACAAAAACAGTGAAGAAGAGCTTTTCGATGACGTTGTAACGGGTTTGAAGGAACAAGGTCTAGTTTCTGTTAACTTTTCTCGTAAGAAGAGAAGTGAGTTTGTCTACGAAAGTCAATCACAAGAATCGTTTCAAAAGTCTCCGAGCTTTTCCGAGTCACAATTTTACACCTACGAAGTAAATAAAAACGGAGAAATGTTACTTTTGGAAAAAAGTTCTAAATCAGATCGACTTGAGAATGTTCTCCTAGAAGATTCTCAAGCCTGCAGGCCTGTATTTAGCGCCGAACAGAGCTGTCAAGATAATGGTGGGACAGGTACGGGTTCATCACTTACTGTTTTAAACGATATTACCCCTTTGTCATTTTTAAACCAGCCTCAGATACCTCCCAGCCCAGGTCATAACTCAGAAAACGTCATCGAGAGTATTGTAGAAATCATACCTGATGCAGAATCTCCTACAATTTTGAATTCATATGATTTTGAAATTGGAACTTTTCATGTTGTTGAGGAGACACGAAATGACACAGACTCTCCTACTATTTTGAACTCGTATGATTTTAACTTAGAACCTGAGTTATCAACTTCTTTTGTAGTACCCACTAGTAGTAGAATATGTGATGATCACAACTTTGACCCGGATCAGACGTCCTGTTCTTCTGAAGATGATGACAGTGGTATGAACGAAGGGAATAGTACTGGAAGGAAGACAAAGAAAAGAAAAGGCTTAGCTGAAGCAGAGCATTGGAAAGCCCGTATGAATAAAAAGTTACGAGAGCAGGGAAAAGACTACATAGGGTGGAGGAGAAATGAAAATTCATGTAATACGCATAATGCACCACGAGCAGCAAAAACATTGAAAGAGACTTGCAGGTCTGCTTTTTGTCGCTCGTCCAAAGAACGCCACTGCCACGAATTTACATCAGAATGTAGACAGCGATTATTTGATCTATTTTGGAATTTAAGTTGGGATCAAAAGAAAATGTTTGTGATTAATACTACGGATAAAATAATACCTTTAAGACCCAAAGAAAATACCAGAAGAGGAGCATCACTTCAATATTACTTGAAACAAGGGGATGTAAAATTGAGAGTTTGTAAGAAAATGTACTTAAATACTTTAGGTATTGGAGAATGGTCAGTAAGGAGCTGGGTAAATAAATCCGAATGTGGTATGTTTGCAAAAGAAAATCCTGAGCAAATAGAGAAAAAAAAGAGGGGAGAGAAGAAAAGACTGTCACGTGAATTTTTAGTCGAGTTTATCGAAAATTTACCACAGCTCCCATCACACTATTGCCGCAAAGATACGTCTAAGACATACTTAGAACCGATTCCTGGAGGTATGGTGGAAGTGTATAGGACCTACACTGAAGCGAGCACAACAAAAAACCTGATTCCGTTATGTAGAACCATGTTTGATAACATTATAAAAGAAAAAAATATTGGCTTCCAGCAGCCGAAAAAAGATTTATGTGATACGTGTCTAAGTTACCATACTAAACAAATATCAGAACAGGAGTATAAAGATCATCAGCTCAGGAAACAAAATGCAAGAGAAGAAAAAGAAAAGGATTTAAAGGAGGCAGGTGAAGGAAAATGTGTTGTCTTAGAACAGGATGTTCAAGCTGTAAAAGTGTGTCCATACATAAGAGCCAGCAGTGCCTATTACAGAAGAAAATTAATCAACCATAATTTTACGGTTTATGAATATCCATCCAAAAAAGTACGATGTTATTGGTTTTCGGAAGTCGACTGTGACACCCAGGCATCGGTCTTTGTGAGCTGCATATTAGATTACCTTCATGATATGATTTGCGACTCTGAAGGCGAATTTGAAACAAAGCCTATAATTATTTGGAGTGACGGTTGCACATATCAAAATAGGAATGCAGTGTTAGCTAATGCTTTATCCAACTTTGCGGGTGTGCATAATGTGGTAATTTACCAAAAATATTTAGAGCCTGGGCATACGCAGATGGAAGTGGATAGTGTTCACGCTGCCATCGAACGCGCCATTAAAAAATATGATGCTATTTATGTTCCATCGCAATACGCAGACATAACAAAAAAATCACGAAAAGATCCATACGACGTCAAAATGGTAAAATATGATTTTTTTAAAAAATTTGATGATACAAAAGTCATGCGTTATGACAGTATTAGGCCTGGAAAGAAAAAAGGAGATCCTGTTGTCACAGATCTTAAAGTTTTACTGTACCATCCAGATGGCAAAATCTATTATAAAACTAACATCTGCAATGAAAATTATTCTTTGTTACCAAGTAGACCAAAAAAAATTAATTTTCCAATAACAACCTACGAGCAACTTTTTAAAGACTCGCCTAAACTTACTTCATGCAAATTTAATGATTTGCAAGCTCTTAAAACTGTAATACCTTCTGATTATTATTCTTTTTACGATAATTTACCGCACATGTAATTTGTTTTAATCTAATATAATAATATTTTTTCTAAATTGACAACTCGTAAGTAAATGTTGACTGCTCGTAACATGTTAGAAGTGAGATTTTTTTAATGTTGTTAACTCGTAACTGATTGTTTATTGATTATTTAATGTAAAACCTATGTGGACCGTTTATTATTTAAGCTATATTAATAAATAATTTGATTACCTACAAACTACTTTTTTGTTTTATTTTTTTCTAATTTGTTTCTTGAAACTAAACAGTTTTTTCACTCTCCTGTAAAATTTGCTACATTGCAGTTACGTGTTGTCAACCTTTGACCATCGATATACTAATTACAAAACTTACTAAAATAAAAAACAAAAAAATCTTACAGTCTAACATGGTGCTATCCCCACAAAACTAGGCGCCTTCAGATGGTTCCCCGCGTCATCAAAAAAAAAGTCGTCGTACTTCAGTGTTCCGGTGTTTTCATGGTTATATCTACTGTAGATCCTGGTGCACGGGATTAGCAGCAAGTGAAACAAGTGAATTTATTTCTGCAAATAGGCTACAAGGCAGCACTTTTACACGTCAATTTTATCAAGCGAACGATGAGGTCGACATTTCCTAACTGACTACTCTGAGAAGAAATGCCGAAACAAACTCAGAGGTCTGTCTCTTTTAAAGTCCAGACAATATGTATAACAGATTATGTGTGAGAACCGTGCCAGTTCTTTCTGTAGTGGGCTTTTGAGGAAAGAACCACAACAGTTTGAGCGGACCCGTTCTGAAGGCAGTACGCATGTGTCGGTTTACAGTCAGCTCAATTAACAGGTGAGGCTGACTGATTCGACGAACAATACCAACCTAAAGAACATTTGCGTGGGTCGCACAAATACTCAAACTGTCAGAAAAAGGGTAATTAGAAAAGAAATGGTGAGGCAAAGTCTCGCACGGTCCTAGCACTAACAATTGTTAAATAAAAAGTAAATGTCAAGTTAGAACAACATATGAAAAACAATGTCACATTAAAACAATAATGTCAAATTGCATATAAAAAAAGAAATGTAACTATATGTTACAAACATGTCAACATGACCTGTGTGGACGTTACAGCAGCTTATTCCCAAGCCAGACTATCATCTAGGTAGTCTTTTATTTTATAATAAGCTTTACTATAAAATTTATCTTTAATGACATTTTTAAATTTATTTAGACTCAAATTTTGGATATGGCTGGGAATCTTATTGTAAAAGCGTATACTCTGACATCTAAACGAACCACTTATTTTCTTTAGTCTAGTAGTGGGAACAACATATTTGTCTTTATTTTTGGCAGCGGTTTTGGGAGGCTTGTCCCATAAAAAAGGAGCATAGAATTGGAAAATGCGAACAATGTATTATACCGATAGATCCCCTATTACATGAGACTCATAACATAATTGGTGAAAAGTGTAGATTACATTAAAACGTGCACTTCTGCCTACCCTCTGGAGATTTAAAGGCATGCTATTATGTTGGTATTCCAACTTAATGGTGAGTGTAGAGTGTAAGTGCAAATAACTGCTTGTTACAGTTAACTGTACAATTTCTTAAATTGATTTCAGAAATTTCACGGCTTCGAATTAAATACATGACTTTTCGTTATTGAATTCAGACTAACGAGGCAGGAAATGTGTTTTTATTAACCTAAGTATAGTTAGAGGATTTTTTACGGATTATGTCGATAAACGAGCAGACGGAGCACGTGGTGGTAAGGAACCAGCGTCGCCAATTGACACCTGGAACACCAGAGGAGTTACGAGTGCGTTGACAGCCCTTTGGGAATTAGGTTTTTCTAATGCAAACGGATCACCTGATGGTAAGCAATCGGTGTCGCCTTTGGACACATGGAACACGAGAGATTTTTAAGTGCATTACCGGCCTTTTGGGATGAGGAATTTGAGCATTGTTGGGGGTACAGGGATTGGGGAGATTCGGGAAGCAGGAGAACACAGAGAAACACAACGCAAGCCTTTTGTTTCAATGTGTTCATTACGGCACATGCCATTATAGGTACAATGCAACACCCACTTTTGACTATTCATGTTCTGTGTCCCATTTAATAGGGGGTGAGCTTATTGCCATATACCGGGCACAATTCCCTTACTATCCTACTACTGAGATTTTTTCCAAACCCGAGACCATTTGCCTGGCAGTCCCACTTACGAACCATCGGCCAACGAGGCAGTAAAAAAAACTAACACAAATTGACCACGTGATTATCCTTTATCATAACATAACATAACATCACGCCTTTTTATCCCCGAAGGGGTAGGCAGAGGTGTACATTATGCCACTGTACAATGTAACACCCACTTTTCACTATTTATGTTATGAGTCCCATGTAATAGGGGGTGAGCCTATTGCCATATACCGGGCACAATTCCAGACTCCGTGCTACTACTG